CCGTACCCCTAAAATCCAGAAAGCAGAGGATCAGGATGAACAGAGTGAGAAACTCCTCCTATAGAAATGAACAGAATATTTAAGAGTCAGGAGGCCTAAAGAAATCATTCACGCAGCAACTTGGCAGCTCCGAAGAGAGATTCTAGAGACTGTCCCCGGATAGCCATGGAAGTGCCTGACAGTGCTGTTCTTTTCATTTTTTAAAAAGCTGAGACAGAATTAACGTAAGTTGAGACAAAATTAACATAAACTTACAATTTTAACCATTATAAAGTGTACAATTCACTGGTTTCTAGTATATTCACAAGGTTGTGCAACTGACACCACTATCGAATTCCAGAACATTTCCATCATCTCCCAAAGAAACCCTACACTTATTAACCCCCTCTCTCTGCAGCCCCTGGCAACCAATAACCTACTTTCTGTCTCTATAGATTTCCCAATGTTGGATATTTCATATGAATATAATCATATAACATGGGCCTTTTGTGTCAGACTTCTTTTACTTAGCGTGTTTTTAAAATTCATCCATGTTGTAGTATGTATCTGTACTACATTCCTTTTTTTGGATGAATCATATTCTATTGTCTATTCTTCTTTTTTTTTTTTTAATCCTCACCCGAGGACATTTTTTTTGTTTGTTTTTTTCTTTATTGATCTTTAGAGAGAGAGACAGAGACAGAAATATCAATGAGAGAGAACATCAATTGGTAACCTCCAGCATGCCCCCTGACTGGGGATTTGGCCCACAACCTGGGCATGTGCCATGACCGGGAATCAAACTGGCAACCTTTTGGTTCATGGGTCAATGCTCAACCACTGAGCCACACCAGCCGGGCTCACCTGAGGACATTTTTGTAATTATCTTCAGATAGTTAAGGAGAGAGAGAGAGGAAAGAGAGAGAGAAACATCGATGTGAGAGAGACACATCGACTGGTTGCCACCCACACGACCCCAACCGGGGCTGGGGACAAACTGAAACCAAGGTACCTGCCCTTAGTGGGAACTGAACTTGGGACTCTCTAGTCTGCAGGCCAACACTCTAACCGCTGACCTAAACGAGCCAGGGCATACTATCTATTCTTGAATATACAGCAAACATGCATTTCTGAATCCCATTGGCACAGCAGACTTGGTGTGGGTGCTCCCGGAGAACAGATGAAATGGAGTTGACAGTATCTTCATGAAACTGTTCACAATTTTAATTTTCATGACCCTGGATTAAGCTTTTGGTTGTCAATTCACAGCAGATTCTGTGAATAACTTGGGAATACCAAAATCTCACCTTTAAATATCAACTTAAGCAGCATGTTGCACAAAAAAGTATGTATTAACAAAGCCAGGGAAATACTGCCTTGGGCTCAGAAAGGAGACTGGCAGGGAGAGTCAGGAAAAGAAACAAATCATTCTGAACAAGGCTGTTCCTGCTTGAGATCTTGTTCAAATTATGAGGTGACTTTGGAGAGTTGCATGAAGCTGAAAAGAAATTCAGCTTATCCTTGGGATTGACCGATTCAGCAATAATGAAAATCCTTGTATGGCAGAGTGGGTTTAATCCTGTTCAACAGTTTTCTCATGGGTAAGGCCAATCTCCCCAGCCCCACATATCCATTAAGCAAACTAAGGGTGTAGCCTGCATCCGCGAGACAAGTGCTGTGTGCTTTCCAAAGGCTAACCTTTCGGTGTCTAATGTAGTTTCTTACTAAGTCAACAGAAGATGATGATAAAGGCAACAAAGGTCTGAACGCAGATCAGCATCATAATCAAGTATGACACCTGGTGGTTGACGAAGAAGAGAAATAAATATCCTCACTCTTCAACTATTCAAAAATTTTGCATCATATAATGCAATGTAAATGAATGAGATGCCTTTGCTTGACCTTCAAATTAGCAAATTATTTTTTAAAAAGTCTTAACACATGCTTGGGAGAATTCTGGAGAAGCAGACTAAGGATTATAGGTACCACCTTTCTATGGGTAGGCTTTACTATCAAAAACCTAAAACATAGAATTTCACACTCCTTTTATTATTTATTTATTTATTTATTTATTTATTTATTTATTTATTTATTTATTTTTTATCCTCACCTAAGGACCTTTTTGCATTTCTCTTTAGATAGAGCAGGAGGGAGAGAAGGAGGACGAGAGAGAGAGAGAAACACTGACTGGCTGCCACACAACCCCAACTAGGACCGGGAAAAACTGCATCTGAGGTACATGTCCTTAGCGGGAACTGAACCCAGGACTCTGGTTCACGGGCCAACACTCTAACCGCTCAGCCAAACCGGCCAGGGCTCACACTCCCTTTAAATCAGTAATTCCACTGCCCTGGCCGGTGTGGTTCAGTTGGTTAAGCATTGTCCCATGCACTCAGAGGTCGCTGGCTCAATTCCAGGTTGGGGCATATACCAGGGTTTGGCTTGATCTCTGGTAGGGCACATGCAGGAGGCAGCCAATCTATGTTTCTCTCTCACTAATGTTTCTCCCCCTCTCCCTCCCCCCCCCTCTCTAAAATCCATTTTTTTTAAAAACCATAAAATGAAATCAGTAATGCCACTGCTAAGATTATCTTAATGAAGTTATCACAGAAGTGTGCTAAGATTCAGCTACTTTATATGTCTGTCATGGAAATGCTGCTTATTGCAAGAAATGGAAAACAATGTAAACATTAAAAAATAGAGTAATAATTCATAAATTAGCGTATATCCATATATGTAAATATCTTTTGCTATGTAATATAATATTTCTATTAACAGTGAAAAAGATGCATCATTTATTATTCACAAGAAAAGAACACACTTTATATAAATATTTTGGTTTATAAGGGAAAAGGGTCTACACAAAAAATACACCAAGCTATGAACAAGGCAATCTCTGAGGCAGTACAATTAGGACAGCACGTTCATTTTCTACCTGGTTTCTTTTGTGTTGAAAACAAAACTAACCAACTTAAATTTTAATTTAGGTGAAAAATTCACAGAGCCAGCCAGAAAGAACAGGAGTTGACTATAATAATATTTTAGATACCAAAGAGGAGACAACAATCTTCCATGTCCCACATCCACAAAGTATGGAAAACCTGAGCCCTCATACCCCAGTCGCTACCCCATTCTTCAGAGTTTCTGGCCAGCCCTGGCCCATTCCCCACAGAGGCTGTTCCAAGCTGCAGTTTTTTCAAGTTCCCTTCCCCACTCCTGCCCTTCACTCCCATCAGATGACCACATTCCATGCATCCCAGGAGGAAAAGAATTTACGCAGGAAGGTAGGAGCACCATCACCTTCAAGTGTTTCCTCCTGCTCTCTTTCAAACACACCCATGTTTGCACACACCACTAGTAAAGTCATGGAAGGAACACATCCTCACTCCGCTTTACTACATCAGTCCACTGTTCCAAGGTCAAGGAAGAAAAGGACTGGAAAATCCATTACGATACACCCAGGAGCTCAATCCTGACATTATTTCAAGGGAATCAGAAAAGTGATGAGAAAGAAGCCAGATTGTGGGGTAAAGAGGAGATGCCACCTCAAATTCATCATATAAAGACAGGGGAATTACAAATAAATATATGCATTTAAGTGGAGATAGCAAGCACAGATTCCTTTATTTTTAATTACAGTGTAATTAACATAAGGTAAAGCGTACATAATAAAAATGTACAAGTTTTAACATGTGAATTAGTCCCTGAAACCATCACCACATTCCAGATAATGAACATACACATTAGTCCAAGTTTCCTCATGCCCCTTTATTTCTTCCTGTCAGCATTCTTTACCTCAGGGGTGCACTGAGATGAAGGCCTGAGTTTGTCTGACTTCACAGAGCTGAATTCAATCTTTCCCTTTTACCTTCACTGAACTGACTGGGTTCAGACTCCTGTTCTCCCTCCTCAGAATGTGGCAATAGCTCCCAGATCACCAGTTTCATCTGTATTGCTTTACCCACAACCCATGATCCTGCCTGTAGATACAACCAGACCAAGGTCAAGTCCAACACACTGAACATGACCTTTAGGGTCCTTCGGAATCTGGATCCTGCCTACCCCTCCAGCCTTATTTCTTGCTGTGCTCCTATACAACTAAGGTACTTGCCGGTACTAACTGTGCTATGTTCCCAATTCCTTCTCAATGTCTTTTCACAAGCTGTTTTCTTAGCCAAATTTGGAACAAACTCTCTTAGACCTGCCTCAGCCCCAGGAAACTCCTACTCATCCTTCTAGACCAGTAGTTCTCAAACAGGGGACATTTTGCCCTTCAAGGGAAAATGGTGACGACATTTTTGGTTGTCACAACCAGGTGGCAGGGGGAATTCTACTGACATCTAGTGGGTAGAGAACATCCAGGGCTCTGCTGACTGTCCTACCACGCACGGGATGACCCCACAACACAATTATCTAGCCAAGAAAGTCAATAGTAAAGAGACCGAGAAGCCCTGATCTAGATCGAAACTAGCATCCCATTTTCAGAGAAAGCCTTCCCTGACTGCCCCCTCACTCCCAATGAGTCCCATGCTCTGCTGTCAGATCTACCCCAATACCACAATATACCTCTATGTTAGCACCGATCTCACTATGCGACAAGTTGTGATTTAATTGTCTGCTCTAGTAAATAACTGCTTCAGAAGCAGAGGCCATCTTTTTCATCTATATAGCTCCAGTGTGTAACAAAAGAGCTCATTCACTGTTTGGTAATTAAATTTTAAATAATGAATTCATTATATTTAATAATGAATGGACAAAAGAGAGAAAGACATACTCTTCTCTTGACTTCACCACAGAAACTCCTTAAAAAATTACACAAATAATACCTGTTTGTTGTAAAAACATTAGAAAATATGGATAAGCAAGCAAAAAACAAAACAAAAACAGAAAAATAATTTTTGAATAGGCAGACATCCCATCTAAAGACTGAACAGGGACACTCTACAAAGCAAATTAGAGAACTCTAAAAGGTGGTGCCAGGATTTTTGCAATATGAACCCCAATATGTACTTGCTACTTACTTGAGAACAGCAATCTCTTGAACAGTAATGGCCCTTTTATCTTTGGTTCCCATGTAGGAGAATATGTTTGGCTTAACTCTGGAAAGACAAAAACAAAACCATCTAAAATTGCATACCAGTAGGAAATCATATTTTTCATGATTTAAGATTCAAAATATACTTAAAATAATAATAGAATAAGGTGATACAATTTAAAAATGTACCCAAGAAAACATAATTAATATGTAAGATAAGAAAGTAAATGATACCCAGATTCCTTCTTTTCTAGCAGTGCTTGACTTATAACAGCTTGTGGCTCTGAGTCAATAACATGCTACTCAGACTTGCCAGCCAGTAACAAAAGGAAACAATGTATTTCCTACTAATCATATGCAATGTGTTACATATATAAATATGAAAGTAAAGAAAAGCCAATTATAGGTATATAATGTGCCACTTTGAAAATTTTATATCTTCAGCCCTGGCCGGTTTGGCTCAGCGGTTAGAGCGTCGGCCTGCGGTCCAGAGAGACCCGGGTTCGGTTCCCGCTAAGGGCGCGTACCTCGGCTGCAGTTTGTCCCCGGCCCTGGTCGGTTGTGCAGGTGGCAGCCACTCGATGTGTTCCTTTCGCATCGATGTTTCTCTCTCTCTCTCTGTTCCTCTCTTTCCCTCCCACTCTACCTGAACAAAAAATGGAAAAATGTCCTCGGGTGAGGATTAAAAAAAAAAAAAATTTATATTTTCAAGTTTAAAAATGTTAATAATGATGTGAACTTTCTGTATATACATGCTATTTCTTTGTATAAAAAAGCCAAATGCTAAAACAGGGATCTGAATAGTTTTGCTATGAAGATATAGGTAAGCCAGTTTACTAAGATGTATTTTATAAAACTGTTCCACACCAACAGGAAAAAAAACAGAAGAATTCTTAAACTCTGAGGAATCCTCAAGCCATCAGGAATTGTCTATTCTCCCAGACTCAGGTATAGACAAGGCACCACCAATCTCTTCCAGAGAACTAGCAACTAGAGTGAAATAAAATGTTACTTATGGGATGAACTGTGTTTCCCCCCAAATTCCTATGTTGAAGCCCTGCCTCTCAGTACTTCTAAAAGGGACTGGCTGCATTTGAAGACAGAACCTTTAAAGAGGTGATTAAGTTAAAATAAGGCCGAAGGGTGGGCACTCATCCAATCTGACTGGTATTCTAGCAAGAGGAGGAAATCTAGACACATGCAGAGACTCCAGGGACACAATGACAGAGGAAAGGCCATATGAGGACACAGAAGGTGGCCATCTGCCAAGAAGAAAAAAATGAAACCTACAACACCTTGATCCTGAAATTTCTTGCCTCCAGAACTATGAGAAAATGAGTTTAAGTCTATAGTATTTTGTTATGGCAGCCATAACAAATTAGCACACTGTGCACCATGTTTAAACTGGGTTAAATATATATTAGAAAGCAAATTTGTATTGCATACAGATTTGCTGTGGTGCCTGTACCCATTTCTTAAAAAAAAAAATCTTCAGCATGTGGACCATCCACAGAGACCTAATGTCTGCTAAGATCTGTTTCTTTTTCTTTTTTTCTTCCCAGATAGAGTGAGAGGGAGAGAAAGGGAGAGAGAAAGAGAAACATTGACATGAGAGGGACACATTGACCAGTTGCCTCCCGTAAGACCCCAACCAGGGACGGGGATGAACTGCAACCGAGGCATGTGCCCTTGGCCAGAACCGAACCCATGACTCATTGATCCATGGGCCAGTGCTTAACCACTGAGCCAAACTGGCTAGGGCTAGATCTGTGAGAAAATCCAACTGGTCTCAGGTTTTCATTTTAATTTTTATCTTTTTTTTAAAATCCTCACTCGAGGACATTTTTACATTTATCTTCAGATAGAATGAGAGGGAGAGAGAGGGGAAGAGAGAGATAAACATCGACGTGAGACACATTGACTGGATGCCACCTGCACAACCCCAACTGGGGCCAGGGACGAACTGCAACCGAGGTACATGCCCTTAGTGGGACTTAACTGGGACTCTCTGGACTGCGGGCCAACCCTCTAACCAAACCGACCAGGGCCCATTGATTTTTAAAGAGGGTGGAAGGGAGGGAGGGAGAGAGAGAGGGAAAGAGCGAAACATCTATGTGAGAGAGACACATCAAGTAGTTGCCTCCTGCCATGACCCCAACCAGGGACAGGGATCAAAGTGGTAAACCAGGTATGTGCCCTTGACTGGAATCGAACCTGAGACCCTTCAGTCCAAGGGCCAACGCTCTAACCACTGAGACAAACCAGCCAGGGCTGGTCTCAGGTTTTCAATCTAGACAATCTTTTAACAGTTTAGTAAAGCAAACCTATGTGACCACATCAAAGTGTAGCCTTTCAGGAAAGCAAGTGGACTTTTTTTAATAAAAAAATTTTTTTAAATCCTTACCCAAGGATATTTTTCCATTGATTTCTTTTTAGAGTGGGAGGGAGGGAGAGAGAAAGAAACATCGATGTGAAAGTCACATAGATTGGTTGCCTCCTGCACAATCCCAACCAGGGCTAAGGATCGAACCCACAACCGAGGTATGTGCCCTTGACCAGGAATCAAACCCCTGACTCTGATCTGAGGGTCGATGCTCTAACCACTGAGCAAAACTGACCAGGGCAAGAAAGTTAACTTTTATGTTCAGTTGAACAGACTGGTTACTCTCTATATGTGAACTATTTATATTTACTTAACAGAATTTTAATCTTGAATCATTGGTAATATGCAAGGAGATAAAAAAATTTCATTTACCTATTAAGAAAACTATAATCGGAGGCATATTTGCTATGTTTGCCTATTTTACCGCTCCTTTTTCATTAGCATAGAAAGAGAAAAGTACATTTCTGTGGTTTTGATTTTGTATAGGCACAAGAACAAGATACTAACCTTAAATATTTGGACAGTACATTAATAGCATCCATGGTGTCTTTGTTTTCCTTGTACAGTACAAAGTGGCAGTAACTTCCCCTAGATTTTGGCCAAGAATGTTTTCTTGGATCTTAAAAACAAAAAAATTAAATGTTATATACACTGCAATAAAAGTTATCTGAGTTTTTTCTTATGAAACCCTACAAGCTCATTTTTTGCTGGAGAACCTTTGAGTGAGAAATCAGATCTAGCCTGACAAGAAATATAGGTTAAGTGGTTACAGCTGTGTGCTACAGGTGTTAAACCTTTTGTGACTGGATACTTAACATTATCTGTCCATACTTAAAATCAAAAGCTGAATGCAGGTGGTGTGACAAATGACTAAGACTAACCAACAGTCTTCACACAGAAACACAGAGGGGCCCACCACTCTCTGGTGGTTACTTTAAAGTCCACATATAAAGTGAGCTGATGGCTCTCTAGAATACATGCAGTCCAGAGGCACACAGCAGTTGTGTCAGATTGTACAGCCTTGCTTCGTATCCCCAGGTGTTCACATACACAAGATGGATGCCTTAGACGGGACGGGGATACACCTTGTAAGGAGTTGCCTCAGTGACATGTTTAGATTTTCTGAAGGCTACTTCCATCACAAAATAGCTAGAACTAGATGGATTACAGAGAGAGCAGCTGGCATTTAAGACCTAATTGTCATTCTTGGGGAAAAGAAAATGTTAAAAATTAAGCCAGGTTAAATGTTAACTTCTGAGCTACTGTTACTTTGCCTGTTTGACTTTTTGGAAACTAACAAACATGTCAAGATTTTGGAGAACCTGATTTTTAAAACTTCTTTTAAACAATGATTTCAATTATCCTATAATATAGAAACATTTAAACAATATTAAGATTTAGACTTAAGATGCCCAAAGGGTATTTTGAAAAATCAACACTTCGGGAAAAATATGTTAAGTCACAACTGCACTTCCCAGACATTGTACAATAATATCCATGAGTCCTGGGCAACACACAGCTGCAGTTGTTCTTTGAACACATCTAATTTACTTGACTCCTGTCACTCTATGAAAGAAAAATGGTGAAAAAATATTTCACACAATCCCTAGAAAAGAGTCTGCTTTTAAAAATGTTTTGTCTTTGTCCCTAAAATAATCCTTTAGTGTGAATTCACACATCCGTCTTCAGAAACATAAGAAACTTCTGGTACTGAGGCTACATTGTAAAGAACAAATGAATCAATAAACTGCCTAGGAAAACTGCCCAGAGCACGAATGCTTAGTGAACTGCCTTTTCTTTCTGATAAATACGAATGTGAGTCTTTTCTGCCTTGGACAGCAAAGTATTACAAGCATTTCTTTGACTCTTGATATGAATTCTTCACAACTCTTCCTCAGAAAATTGTGAATGGGAATATTATTTCTGGTTTTCCTTCCAGCTCACTACAGTTAAGCAAAGCTGTCTACACTTGGCACTTGTGACAAAAATCATTGGCATTTCATTTTATCTACATGAAACGCCAACCGCTCTTACCTGCTCCAGTTCTGACCTCTGTCCAAATGCACAGCATAAAGAGCACAAGAGAGCAATGTTTAATTTATAATAATATTAAAGTGCTTTAGAGGTGAACATGCAAATGATCGCATGGAAAGTTTCTACCAAGGACTTCTACAGCACCTGGCAGAATGTGGCGGGTTAACAGCCATGTAGACATTAACAATGGAATGTCGCAGAGGCAAACAGTGAACAAGTAGAAAACTCACTGACAGGTACAAGCCACCCTGTCTCAATCCCCTCACAATGGCATGTCATCTCATCCTCAAAGCTGCACTGTCTATACCCACCAGATGCAGTAAAAGGTTTGAGTGGATGCAAGGCCCTGGCCAGGTAGCTCAGTTGGTTAGAGCATCGGCCCGATATGCAAAGGTTATGGGTTCAATCCCCAGTCAGGGCACATACAAGAATCAACCAATTAATGTATAAATAAGTGGAACAAAGTAATGTTTCTCTCTCTCTCAAAAATTAATTAAAAATAATAACAAAAAAAAGACAGGATGCAAAATGCTTCCCGATCTAGGGATCTGTGTTCTTATATATGGGAGGACATGTACCAAAATGTTCTTTGTAATTAACTTTTGGTGGTAAGGCTGCAGGTAATTATTGTTTTGCTCTGTGTTTTATGAGTTTCCTGTACTGAGTTACAAAGACTTTTTATTTGAAAAAATTTGAAATTATGGAAAACAGTTCTTGAACCAGTAGATTCACAGTGATTTAAAATGATTTAAGAGACATCCATTGAAGGCAATGTTCTTACCTTGTTCGTATAATTATTTGAACACGTCATCTGTACGTAAAATATACTTTTGAGATAACCAGGGGAAAACTGAATATGCACTAGGTATTAGATATTAAGACCTTATTGCTGATTTTGTTGAATGTGATAATGGCTATGGGTTTAGTCCAGATCTGTTAGATACATATTGAAGAATTCATGAGTGAAATAAAGCACAATGTTGAATTTTATTTAAAACACTCCAATGAGGAAAAAAAAAGGGGAGAAATAGATCAAACAAAAACAACAGAATGTTAATAATCTTGAAGATAGCTGATGGGTACAATGGGGTTAATATACTGTCTCCTTTATGTGTATATCTGAAAATGTCCGTAATAAAAAGTTAACAAAATACTTGTGGTAAAAATTGATGTAGTGTAGCCATATTTTTCCTTAACTACCCCGTTAGTACATTCACAATAAACCAAAATGGCAAGAAATAAATGAAGCCAGAAGACTAAAAAAACCAAATGCTATTATACCTTAAGAGAAACCATGACAACCGAGTATGAGTTTTGGCTCACAAGCATGCATCTTTCATTAGCAAATCCAAGCACTGAGCATGCACACAATTACCTCCTCTGCAAATAACAGATGCAAAGATTCTTTTCCTAAGTGTACTCAGTATACAAAATAGTAAGCATATGCATTGATTAACAGAAAATCTATGAGTCTAAACTTATTTTGGATAGTTAACTTTATAAAATTCCAAATCCTTAGAATGCTAAGTAGCACATGTGTAGGTTTATAATTTAAGTGAATTTAAAATAACATTCAGATATTTTTGAAACATTCTGATTTAAAATGTTAATGCAAAGAATTCTCAAGCTGAGATCATAGGAAGCAGCCTTCTGATGGTCTGATATGGCAGCCCCAGTATCGTAGAAATAGAAAACAAACAAAGGAAACATTCAGAAAGATTCATGTACTGTGCAGAGAGACCCTCATGAATAAGGAAAAAAAATGTTTGTAGTTCAAAAAAGACGAAAGGATGGGGTAGCATGCAAAACATTCTTTCCTTCATATTCAAGGCCATTTCCACTGCTGTACCCCTGCACACCAACCTTTCAGCTTCCTCAGGGATTCTGCTCCATCATTATCACTCTCCTCCCAGAATTTTCATCCTCTATCTGCACCGGCTCTTTCCCTTCAGTATATCAGTATGTTCAGGGCTCTTCCACTTTAAAAGTCAAATATGGCCCTTGGCCCGTGGACCAGAGAGTCCTGGGTTTGGTTCCTGCTAAGGGTACGTACCTCTGTTGCAGTTTGTCCCCGGCCCCAGCTGGGTTCGTGTGGGTGGCAACTGATGGATATGTCTCTCTCACATTGGTGTTTCTCTCTCTCTCCTTCCCTCTCTCCCTCCTGCTCTATCTGAAGATAAATGCAAAAATGTCCTTGGGTGAAGATAAAAATAAATATATAAATAAAATAAAAGTCAAACCTATGTCTTCCTCTCCTTAACCATGTTCCTTTCCTTTCTCCTCCTCTTTACAGCATATTTGAAAAAGCAGTCTGCACTGACAGCCTTCCACCTCAACCTGCAGTGGAAACTGGTTTCCAATCTTACACCACTGAAACTGCTCTGGACATCAATGATTTATTTCCATGTTGCTAAAAACTGATGGATATGTTTTAGAGTTCAATTCTGCTGGACCTATCTGTAATGTGTTCCACTGCTAAGCACTCTGGCTATTGGAATTCCCTCTTCGTGTGGATTCCATCATACTAGTCTCTCCCAGGAAGTATCCTTTTTTTTTTAATCCTCACCCAACAATTTTTCTATTTATCATCAGATAGAGTGGGAGGGAGGAAGAGAGAGGGAGCGAGAGACAGAGAAACATGGACATGAGAGAGACAGACATATCAACTGGTTGCCTCCTGCATGACCTGACTAGGGCCGGAGACAAACGGAAACTGCAGTACGTGCCCTTGACTGGAATCAAACCTGAGACTCATTGGTCTGTGGGCTGATGATGTAACCACTGAGCCAAACTGGCCAGGGGGGCAGTTTCATTTTTATCTGCTTGGCTCTTCCTCCTGAGTTTCTGAGGACTCCTAGCTCTAGGTATCCCGGCTGGAAACCATTCATTTCAGAAAGTATGGAGAACTTCTACACATCACATGGCAGAATTTTGTTCTTTTCATTTAAGTCTTTAAAAAGTTCTTATAAGTATTTGTAATGTACATTATCTATCTCAAAACATAAATCAATTTATCCAATTACATGGTTTATTAATAATTACATGATAATTTCAGAAAACTGCTATACATGTGCTTTGGCAGGTAAATAAATATGCCCTGTCTATTAGACTGGATTAACACACAAAATAACATCTAAGTTAAAATAGTTGGTAATTTGTGATATTTGGGCACCATGATTCAGAATCCACTATGCCTATGTTTTAGGATACATGGCTCTATTTGAGAAAACAGCAATAATTTATATCAGGGTTTGTAGTTAAAGGGACTCTAAAAACATGATAAATGTAGATTTGCAATGAAGATTTAAAAGCTAATTAATTAAAATGCTAGGCACTCGATGTGTCCCTTTCACGTTGATGTTTCTCTCTCTCCCTCCTACTCTATCTGAACAAAAAATGGAAAAATGTCCTTGGGCGAGGATAAAAAAAAAGCCCTGGCCAGTTTTGCTCAGCAGTTAGAGCGTCGGCCTGCGGTCCAGAGAGACCCAGATTCAGTTCCCGCTAAGGGCACATACCTTGGTTGCAGTTTGTCCCCAGCCCTGGTTGGGCTGTATGGGTGGCAGCCACTTGATGTGTCCCTTTCACGTTGATGTTTCTCTCTCTCTCGCTCTCTCTCTCTCTTTCTCTCTCTCTCTCTCCCTCTCTCTCCTTCCCACTCTATCTGAACAAAAACTAAAATGATAGGGAAGGTGGCCCAGGGGGAGAAGCTGTCACTGGTATCGGGTTCTATTTCTATTTGCAGAGGCACGAACAATAGTCTCTGGACCCCAGCTCTCCCTACTTTTCCAACGGTGATGACTTTAAGCCACTCTCCATTCATAGGTGGGGATCTAGATCTGTCAAAGATGAATTCAGGCTCTCAAGTGACTGTCTGGGTAAGGGAGGAGGTAGAACAGAAGGGCTCAGAGGGCAGATCTCTAATCCATCCTTCACTAAATGCCAAATATCTCAAGCTTGAGAGGTTTATATCTTTGTGCCAGCATTGATCCAATCTAATTCCTTTATGCTGCTTTTTCAAGATAGAAATTCATATTTTACTGATGATGTACAAAGGAAAACGCGGTACTATCCTCCTCCCACAACCACATCAAAATTACAGCCAAACTACAGAACAACCATCATTCAGACCTGCCTGAAATCAAGCTGAATGGAAGTCCTACAACTACAAAATTAAAGAAGCCACATCAAGACTGGTAGGAGGGGTGGAGGGGCGGAGGTGTAGACAGGCTGGTCCCATACCCATGTGTGCTAGATAAAAATCAGGAGGGGTACCTCGGCAGTGAAGGTCCTCCCGAAGGAGCAAGGGTCCAAGTTCCACACCAGGCTCCCCAGCTCAGGGTTCCAGTGCCAGGAAGAAGTCCCCATAACTTCTGGCTGTAAAAACCAGTAGGAATTGAGGCTGAGGGAGGCTGAGGCTGCTGGAGTCCCAGACAGCTCCTCTTAAGTGGCCCACACAAAGATTTATTAAGACTCTCTCCCTCCAGGTTCCAGCATGGGAGAGGCAGCTTAAAAGGCACCATATCTGGGACTCCCAGCAACCTGGCTCACACTGTTTGCCCCACCCAGGTGATTCCCTAAGGCTCTGCCCCACCCAACTTTCAGGCACACTCCAGCTGTTTTCAGTGGCTTTACCATAGGATTGGCCTGTCTTGGCTTCTGCTTCATAGTTTCCTAAAATCTCTCAAACAAGCAGCTGGCCTCAGCGAGCCCTATTTCTCTCATTAAGTGGCCCCAGGCCTGTCACTAGAAGCAGCCAGCTTTGGTTCATAGCTTGGTTTTGCCTGGGCACCTCCAAGCCCAGCACAAGAAGCACCCTTCTGCAGATCACACTGTTGCTTATGCCTGATGGCCTTGGGTAGAACGCAGGCAGTGGCTGACCTTGGCCCAGAGTCAGCACACCCAGTGGACAGGTTCAGACCACATTGAAGTACCACCATCCACCCACCTCCACGAGTGACACACTCAATGAGTGGACTCAGGAACCGAGACCTGCTGAAGTAAGTCTTGCTCAGTGTGGTAGGCCCCTATATAGCTGATCCTCCAAGGTGGTCACAGGTCCATGGGCACAGCCAGTCCTTGAAGATGATCAGCCTGAGTAAATCCCTCCCACTGACGTGCCAACAGCAATCAAGATACAATTACAACAGAAGGGTGTACAGTCCACACGGGGAGTGCACCTCGAGAGCCCAGCTGGGGTGATCAGGGAGGCTGTGCCACTGGACCCTACAGGACACCTACAATAATAGGCCACCCTACGAAGCCTCAGAGACATATCAACTCTACCTAATACATAGAAACAAACACAAGGAGGCAGTCAAAATGAGGAGACAAAGAAACATGTCCCAAATGAAAGAACAGAACAAAACTCCAGGAAAAGAACTAAAGAAAATGAAGATAAGCAATCTAACAGATGCAGAGTTCAAAACACTGCTTATAAGGAGGCTCAAGGAACTTAGTGAGGACCCCAAGAGCATAAAAAAGGACCGGTCAGAAATGAAGGATGTACTAACTGAAATAAAGAATAATTTACAGGGAATCAACAGTACAGGAAGAAAGTCAAGAAGCAAACCATTAATTTGGAATATAAGAAAGCAAAAACACCCAATCAGAACAGGAAAAATAAAAAAGAATCCAAAAGCCCTGGCTGGTTTGGCTCAGCAGTTAGAGTGTCAGTCAGCAGACCAGAGAGTCCTGGGTTCGGTTCCCGCTAAGGGCACGTACCTCGATTGCAGTATGTCCCTGGCCTTGGTTGGGGTCATGTGGATGGCAATCACTTGATGTGTTTCTCTCACATTAATGTTTCTCTCTCTCTTTTCCCCCCTCTCTCCCTCCTGCTCTATCTGAAGATAAATGCAGAAATGTCCTCGGGTGACAATAAAAAATAAAAAAAAGAATCCAAAAAAATAAGGGTAGTGTAAGGAGCTGCAGGGACAACTTCAAACACACCAACGTTCACATCATGGGGGTGCCAGAAGGAGAAGACAGAGAGGAAGAAATTGAAAACCTATTTGAAAAAATGATGACAGAAAACTTCCCTAACTTGGTGAAGGAAACAGCCATACAAGTCCAGGAAGCACAGAGAGTCCCAAACAAGATGAACCCCAAAGGCCCATACCAAGACACATAATAATCAAAATACAAATGGTTAAAGACACAGAGAGAATCTGTTTTTTTTTAATCCTCACCCGAGGATATTTTTCTATTTATCTTCAGATAAAGTGGGAGGGAGGGAGAGGGAGAGAAAAGGAGAGAGAGAAACATCCATGTAAGAGGGACACATCAACTGGATGCCTCCCATATGACCTCGATCAGGGCCGGGGACGAACCAAAACCAAGGTACGTACCCTTGGGCGGAATCTAACCTGAGACTCATTGGTCTGTGGGCTGACGCTCAACCGCTGAGCCAAACTGGCCAGGGCGAGAATCTTTTTTTTTTAATCCTCACCCAAGGATATTTTTCCATTTATTTTGAGACAGAGAGAGAGAGAGAAACATTGATTGGTTGCCTCCCATAAGACCCTGGCCAGGGCCAGGGACGGAACTGCGACCGAGGTACATGCCTTTGACCAGAATCAAACCCGCGATGCTTCAGTCTGCGGGCCGATGCTCCAACTGCTGAGCCAAACTGGCCAGGGCCAAAGAGAGAATCTTAAAAGCAGCAAGAGATGTAGGGGTGGGGAGGAGGGGGTCAATGGTGGACAAAATGGGGGGACATCTGTAATACATTCAACAATAAAGATACATTTTTTAAAAAGAAGAAAAGAATGATCAAGTCCAAGAAGTGCCCAGTCAAAAAAACACAGGATTTGCCTTTTCCAATCTGCTTCCTCATGATCACACTCAGCAGAACAAGATCCTGCCTTTTCTTCTCACCTTTGCAAGAGGGTGGCTGACCAACATGGACTGTCCCTCTGTAAGGAACATCTCCCTAGTAGCCCTAGTCAACCTGGGTTCCAAGGCATTTTATTGTATAAAGTCACTTTCTCTCTTCTACATCTAGAATTGTTACTAACCTATATGCCAATCTTAGGAGAATGGAAAAAATAGTCACTCAGATCATATTCCACTGGGCCTAATTCTGCTGACAACTCTGGCTGAAGAAAGACTATTAAGGTAATATTTCATACTATGACTCAGACATCAAAGAAACATATAGTGACCAAGCCATTAGTTTGTGGATTTGGAAGTAATTAACAACACATATCCACAAGTAGTCTTGAAACATTTTTATCTCACTTTTCTTTTTGGTATCCACTGAGAAGTGGCCTCCAATCTCCACCTTCTCCTCATCTGGGGAGGAGAGCGAGGAAAAACTTTTCCTTCTGTAATTTTCATTAAAATTTTATCTGCTGATTTGACAAGTAAAAAATGAAAAATTATCTAATAACTCTTAAGGTTATATGCAAGTAGAAATTTTCATGGCTGTAGAAAACATATTCGAACATACATATTAAAGATTCACTGACAACACATCCATTTCAAATGAATGATACACAAAAAAAGATGGGTTTGGGCAAAGGGGTGTTTTTCTACATATTCCATGTTTTTTCTATGTGACTGAAGAAGATACAGTTGGAAAGTGGCAGCTCTTTCAATATAGGGACTTTGCTGAAAATGTACTACAGGGATATAGGTGACAAGCATGTCTGTTCACCTGAAAACTTCCTTTCCTCCATTAAGAACACAGAATGAGCAATATCCTTACATTTTCTTCCTGAACTGCCATTCAGCCGACTCTGCTCTTCAGGGAACATATCAGATTCCTAAGATGCTCTCTCAGGCACCGCTGTAATTTCAGCAAATCTTTGCTCACAAAAAAAGACCTAATGCCTTCGATCAGGCAGACATTCTATAGGACTGCTCTGGCATGTGAAATGATATTATTCACCTTCTCTGAAGGAGTGACATGATCAATATCCTTCTCTGAACAACAGCAAAGTAGTCCTTGAATATGACCAGGCAAGGAGGAGGAGAAGGAAGAGGAGGAGGAGGAATAGGGAGGGGGAGGAGAAGGAGGAGGGGGTGGGAGAGGACAAAGAGAGGGAGAGGGAGGAGGAAGAGAAGGAGGAGGGGGAAGAGGAGAAAGAGGAGGAGGAGGAGGATCACCCAGCAGAAGAAATGCCAGGTCACTCACACACTTACTTGCCAGAGCCTTTTTTCCAGCAGCATGGTAGGCCACAATGTATTTCTTTCCCTCCCTATCCTCTGTTTTTGTCTCTAATCCTGGAAACAGAGATTTAATTGCTTGATGGATGATGGTTCTTTTCTCTTTGGTGTCCTCAACAACCTATTAAAAACATAGATAATATTACTAATTTAACAACATTAAACAGGGAAATTATACTAATAAATGAGTAAAAACACTACTCATCTTATCAACTATGTGAAACAACAAAAGTACATGGGTACGATTTCAGAAATCTTTTAGGGTGCCATAATATGCAAATCCAAAGAGCCTGTCGAGGCACTGTACTAAGCACTTCACAGATGCTCCCTCTCAGAGACTCTGCTGGACAAACACTTCAGGGCTTATAGATGGAAATGTACGCAAGCTGGGCCTTTTGAGATGTCAGAAACTCAACTCCCTTGCATAGTCCAGTCTACAAGGGCCTCATAATGAATTCTATACTGAATTATTTTCTATTGATATTCTAGCACATTTATTCACAATAAAGAAAACTCAACATCAAGAAAATGCAAACTTATCAGTTACATAACTGTTTTTCCATTTTTTTAAGTGTCTCACATTAGGAAATACATGTCATATCTGGATTCAACAGATATGTGTATATACCTTAGCAATTAAAAAAATGTTAAGAAACAATACTTACCCTTACTATGTGCAATACACTGTCCTTTTCTATTTTTACTGCATTAAAAAAATGTTAAGATCCACTAAATTGATTTCATGATCCACTAATGGACTGCAACATGCAAGCTAAAAACACCAAATACTATTACTAGCTAAACTTAATAGTTTGGCAAAATGTAAAAGAAAAAGTACATAACACTTATAACTGATATTTTCATACCAAAAAGTGAGTCTAGATCTTGAATTTACTCAAAGCACTGAGGTGGAATATGGTTTGTGTGTATGAGTGAAAACATGTTTAGATCTCAAAAATTTAGAAAGGTCGTTTTCCTCATTTTACAAAGACTTGGTTTATGCCCATGGCTTATGCCATTTAAAGGTAAAAATTTTCAGCAGATGACATAACTAGTTTGTAAGATGATATATACTGCCACCTAGGTAAAATATGTATATTATGAGGCTAAGCGATACCACTGCATTACACAAGTAAGGGAAACCTGGACCATCCTCCTGGACTATTCTCAAAACCAATTCTTAGAAATATTCTCCTTGACATTTTGTCTGAAAGGAAATTCAGTAATTGAAGATCTCTAAAGTTGTTATAATAGCACACACTTTAGGGAGGTTTTGGTGGGAGGAACAGAAGGAGATGAAGGTTGGAGGCAGACAGTAATTTCTGAAAAGTTATAAACTGCTACTAACTAGAGGTTATGGAAGGGGGAATTTCAAACACCCTCAAATCCAACTGGTTGTTAAAATATGCTACAAAATGAATTGAACATAAACTTAAAATTCTGAAAATCTCATGCTACAACATTCTTAAAATCTTGTAACATACCATCCTGCATAAATATCACTGAGAACTGCTCTATCCCATACAGCAGACACTAACCACATGTGACAACTGAGCACTTAAAAATGTGGCTAGTCTAAACTTAGATGTGCTATCAATTTAACAAAGAATTTTAAGGCCTTAGTAGGAAAAGTAGAATGTAAAACAGCTGAGTAATTTTTAAAAATATTGCCTGGCCGGTGTGGCTCAGAGGATTGAGCGTCGTCCCATGGATTCAGAGGTCCTGGTTTGATTTCCAGTCAGGGCACGTGCCTGGGTTGTGGGCTCGATTCCGAGTAGGGGGCGTGCAGGAGGCAGCTGACCGATGTTCTGCACGGTGATGTTTCGATCTCTCTCTCTCCTTTCCTCTCTCTCTAAAAAAATCAATAAAAATGTACTTTACAATATGTATATAGAAATATTTTGAATGTATTAAAAAAAAAAGTTCAATTTCATTTGTTTCTTTTTACTTCTAAATTTTTAGATTTAAAATTAAAAACAAACTCCACTGGACAGTACTAATAGGGCAGAATAAAATTTTTATAACAAAAGCTTTAAAGAAGGCATTTACTGCCCAGCTGGTGTGGCTCAGTGGTTGAGTGTTGACCCATGCACCCAGAGGTCACTGGTTCGATTCCCTGTCAGGGCACATGCCCAGGTTGTGGGCCCAATCCCCAGTGGGGGGCATACAGGAGGCGGCCAATCGATGTTCTCTCTCTTTGATGTTTCTATTTCTCTCTTTCCTTTCCTCGCTCTCTAAAAATCAATAAAGAAAAAATATTTTTAAAAAAAGAAGGCACTTACTATTCGAAGGCATTTACTATTCTATGTCATAGCCGAGCTCTCCTTTTCTTGACTAGAAGTAGACTTAGGCTGAGTAAAGAAACGCTCCCTTTCTACTTTGCCCCAGTTCCTTTCCCTCCAAAATCCCCATCTGAGACCAAGAGGCTGCTGGCACTGGAGGGAGGGCCAGGGCCTCCTTATCAGGGTCACACCTCTGATTGTCAGACTGTCCAGTAGACATTATACGATATAACAATCACTATGAGGTTCAGAACAATAGAGTTCTTTGTTGACTTGTAGTTACATGAAACATTTTTTTAAAAACCATTTTTTTTTGGCCTTTATGTGGATACTGGTTATCAGTCACTGACAAAAACACTTTTTAGTGTATGTAATGCCCTTTTAGTTCAAATAGGACATCATCATCCTTTTGTTAACTACTATAATTTTTCCAGTGGACACTTATTAACATTTACCCAAAAAGAAGTCATGGAAACCCTATAAAACCTTTTCATATATTTCTGTACTATTTACCTCGATGACAACACTGGTTTCCTTATTTTTAAAAAGCTGAAGCTCTTCTAAACGATGCTTTTCTTCAGGTGTCAAAACTGTAAATACATCTTCTGAAGGATCCTTTAAAATAACCACAAAAACTCCCAGTGAGTTGCACACAGAATTCAAGGCTGTTAGAGTTCTTTATTTCTATGATCTCTAAGAAATGCTATTTTTATACAGAAGGTGTTTTTTGCTGGAGAGCTGGCTCCTACCTCCTCATCCACTGGAATGGACAAGTCATCCAAATGGCTTATGCGTCCATTTTTTCCTATTTCGTGAACAACGAAGTCAGAGTATCTGATGAAAAGAAAACAAACTTTCAGAGCATTAACAGATTGTTTCCTGTTAATTTTAGGAAAATGTTTATCAACAGTAAGCCTTACTATTGTGCAAAACAAGGAATTCTTTTTAAAAAAAGTTTTCAGTGCAAAGTAATACAGAGTTATTATTCCTGGTTTCTTAATGAATTTTGAGCCATACCATAGCTTTGTATCAGAATGTAAAAACCCTCTGATACTGCCCTGGCCGGTTTGGCTCAGCGGTTGGAGCGTCGGCCTGCGGTACAGAGAGACCCAGGTTCGGTTCCCGCTAAGGGCACGTACCTCGGTTGCAGTTTGTCCCCGGCCCTGGTTGGTCGTGCGGGTGGCAGCCACTCGATGTGTCCCTTCACATCGATGTTTCTCTCTCTCTCTCTTCCTCTCTCTCCCTCCTGCTCTATCTGAACAAAAAATGGAAAAACGTCCTCGGGTGAGGATAAAACAAACAAACAAACAAAAAAACCCTCTGATACTTTAACATCCACCTACACCAACAGATAAATCATCCAGACAGGAAGTCCACAAGGAAAAATCAGCCTTAAATTACCTATCAGAATTGATATTTACAGAACTTTGCTCCCAAGAACTGACAGAATACATATTCTTTTCAAGTGCACATGGAATATTCTCAAGGAGACCATGTATTGGGACAAAAGACAAGCTTCAACAAATTTAAGAAGACAAATCATATCAAGCATCTTTTCTGCACAAATGGTATGAAACTACAAATCAACTACAAGAAGAAAGCTGGAAAAATCACAAATATTTAGAGTTTAAACAGCATGCTACTGAATAACTATTGGTTCAATGAAGTAAAGAAAAAATCAGCCCAGTTAGTGTAGCTCAGTGGTTGAGCGTTGACCAATGCACCAAGAAAGAGGTCGTTGGTGGATTCCTGGTCAGAGCACATGCCAAGGTTGTGGGCTCAATCCCCATTAGGGGGCACGCAGGAGACAGCCAATCGATATTATGCTCTCACATTGATGTTTCTCTCTTTTTCCTTCTTCTCTTTCTAAAAATCAATAAACTACTCTTTAAAAAAGAAAAAAAATTGACCAATCTTTAGCTAGACTCCCTAAAGAGAAAAGAGAAGATTCAAATAAAGAAAGTCAGAAGTGAAAGTGAAGAAATTACAACGGATACCACAAAAATACAAAAAAATCATACAAAAATAATATGAAAAGTTATATACCACCAAACTGGACAACCTACAAGAAATGGACAAATTCTTAGAATCATACAACCTTCCTAGACTGAATCATGAAGAAAGAGAAAACTCGAATAGACTAATTCTAGTAAGAAAACTTAAAGAGTAATTGAAAACCTCCCCCAAACAAGAGTCCAGGACCAGATGGCTTCACTGGTGAATTCTACCAAACATTCAAAGAAAATTTAATATCAATCCTTCTCAAACTCTTGCAAAAATCCTGAAGAGGAGGGTATGTTTCTTACCTTATTTTACAAGGCTAAACATTACCCTGACACCAAAGGCAGGCATAGATAGCAAATAAAAAAGTAAATTATGTTTATCTCTGAAAAACATACAGATGCAAAACTCTTCAACAAAATACTAGCAAATCAAATACAACAATACATTAAAGGGATCATAGGCCACAATTAAGTAAAGTTTATTCTAGAGATTCAAGAATGGCTCAACATTTGCAAATCAATAAACATGATACATCACATTAACAAAATGAAGGGTAAAAATCAAATGATCATCTTAGATGTAGAAAAAGCATTTGACAAAATAAAATATCCACTTATGATAAACATTCTCAATAAAATGAACAAAGAAGAAAAATACCTCAACATAATAAAGGCCATATATGACAAACCCACAACTATCATCATACTCAACAGTGAAAGATTAAAAGCTCTTTCTCTAGAATCATCAACAGGACAAAGAGGCTCACTTACTCTTGCCACTTTATTCAACATAGCCAGAGCAATTGGGCAAGAAAAGAAAATAAAAGGCATCCAAATTGGAAATGAAGAAGTAAAACCGTCACTATTTGCACATGACATGATTTTATATATAGAACATTCTAAGATTCTACCCAAAACTTAGAAATAAACAAATATAGTAATGTTGCAGGATACAAACTCAATATAGAAAAATCTGTTGTTTCTATAATGCTAACAATAAAAAGAAAAAGATAGAAAAAACAATTCCATTTACAATTGCAACAAAAAAAATAAAATACCTAGGAATAAACTTTAACAAAGGAGGTGAAAGAACCATACACTGAAAACTACAAGACATTGAAAGAAATTGAAGAACCGAAGGAATGGAAAGATATTCCATGTTCACTGACTGGAAGAATTAACATTGCTAAAATGTCCACATTACTTAAAGCAATCTATAGATTCAATACAATCCCCATCAAAAGCCCAAAGGCATTTTTCACAGAAATAGAGCAAAAAATCCTAAAATTTGTGAGAAACCCTAAATAGTCAAAATAATCCTGAGAAAAAAGAACAAAGCCAGAGGTATCACACTCCCGATTTTGAACTATACTACAAAGCTACAGTAATCAAAACAGTATGGTATTGGCATAAAAACAGATACACAGACCAATGGAACAGAATTGAGAGCCCAGAAATAAACCCACACTTTGTAAGCAATTAATTTATGACAAAGGAGCCAAAAATATACAATGAAGAAAGGAAAGTCTCTTCAATAAATGGTGCTGAGAAAATCGAACAGCCATATGCAAGGGAATGAAACTAGACCACTATGACCATACTTAAAAATGAACTCAAAATGGATTAAAGACTGGAATGTAAGAACCGAACCAATAAAATATATAGAAGAAAGAATAGGCATTAAGCTTTGGACACTGGTCTCAGTGGTGTTTTTGTGAATTTAATGCGAAAGGCATGAGAAACAAAACAAAAAATAAACAAATGGGACATCAAACTAAAAAGCTCTGCACAGCAAAAGCAACTATCAACAAAACAAAAAGGCAACCAACCAAGGGAGAAGATATTTGCAAATAATATTTTCAATAAGGGGTTAATATCCAAAGTATATAAAGAACTCATACAACCAGATTCAGAAATGGGCAGAGAGTCTTAACAAATATTTTCCCAAGGAGGACACACAGATGGCCAATAGGCATATGAAAAGATGTTCAAATTCACTAATTATTAGAGAAATGCAAATCAAAACCATAATAAGATATTACTTCACACCTGTTAGAATGGCTATTATTAAAACCATAAGAAATAACAAGTGCTGGAGAGGATGTGGAGAAAAGGTAACCCTTGTAGACTGTTGGTGGGACTGTAAAATGGTACAGACCCTATGGAGAACAGTATGCAGGTTCCTCAAAAAATTAAGAAACGAACTACTATACGATCCAGCAATTCCTCTTTTGGCTATTTATCGGAAGACTAAGAAAACACTAATTCAAAAAGATATATGTGCCCCATGTTCATTGCAGTATTATTTACAGCAGTCAAGACACAGAAACAACCTAAGTGCCCATCAATGAATGAATGCATAAAGAAAAGCTAGTGCATGCGCGCACGCGCGCACACACACACACACACACACACACACACAATGGAGTACTACTCAGCCATAAGAAAAGATGAAATATTGCCATTTGCAACAACATGGATATATCTTGAGAGTATTATGCTAAAGTGAAATAAGTCAGATGGAAAAGGACAAAAACTGTATGGTTTCACTCATTTTATCTTTAAACAGTTTCATTTACTCATTTGGGCAGCTCTCTTCCTTTTTGACCGTCCATGAAATTAATCCTTGGGGGCAGAAATAAACAGAAGACTATATTGCTGATTTCTTTCTAAAGAAAAGAACTAATATAACTAAAATAACTTTGTACATAAACTAAAAACATACCTTTCTTTTAAGATTCCTGAGAATCCTTGATGAGAACTTACAAACTTGGTGATGCCTACATCAAGTTCGGTGAGTCCATGCTTCATCATGTCTGCAAAACTCTCAGCTTCCTCCTCCTCATCACTCTCCTCTGAAAGGCCATCTTCTTCCTCCCCTTCCTCTTCTTGCAACTGGGCATCGGCATTTTTTTTACTCTTTCCAGAACTTACAACTTCAGGTAGCCCAGGCACATTTTCAGGGCTGGGTGGAGAGTTATTTTCTAGCCCCTCCTGACCTTTGGTGAGACAGCTTTCTGAGACCTTCTGTCTTTTTACCTCCTCAGCTGGGGCCAGACTGTCATTATCTTCAACAGCAAGGGACCCACGTTTCACTGATACACCAGTCATTTTTGTCATCTCCATTTTTAAGGCTCCAAGGAAACATTTAAGAGAACCTTTCGGGAAGACAGTAGGAAAGTAATAATCACTTCTTTAAATAAGTGAATTTCAGCAAATAGAAGAACAGTTAACTTTGTTCTTAGGGTCCTAAAAAATCATTTATTAAAATAATTCTTCCCACCTTGGCCCATGTGACTCAGTTGGTTAGGCATCGTCCCATGCAACAAAAGGTTGTAGGTTTGATTCCCAGTCAGGAACATGCCTGGGTTGTGGCCTCAATCCCTGATCCTCAGTAGGGGGCATGCACAGGAATGGAGCCCACATCAATGTTTCTCTCCCTCTCCATCTCCCTTCCTCTCTCTAAATATGTAGGAAATGAGAAAGGTGGTTACTTTTAAGAGAAGGTACAGGTGGCTGGGGACAGCAGGGAGACTTGCTACTTTTACTGAAAATGATAGTCGTATCATCTGGATCTTGTTTCATATATATTATTATCTTTTCAAAAAACTGATTAAATAAAAAGTGTGTAAATACATTTACTGACATGAAATCATACCATACTATATATTTTTAAAAAACAAGGGGGCCCTAGCCAGTTTGGCTCAGTGGTTGGAGCATCAGCCTGTGGACCAGAGAGTCCCAGGTTCGGTTCCCACTAGGGGCACATACCAAAAAAAAAAAAAAAAAAGGCAAGGGGAATATGGAGTTGATGAATGGGTAGAGAGTTTCAGTTTTACATGATTAAAAAGAGTTCTGCATGGTTTACAACAATGTGAGTGTACTTAACAATACTGAACTGTACACTTAAAAATGGTTAAAATGAGCCCTGGCCGGTTTGGCTCAGCGGTTGGAGCGTTGGCCTGTGGACCAGAGAGTCTTGGGTTCGGTTCCCGCTAGGGGCATGCACCAAAAATAAATAAATAAATAAAACCATGGATGCCTGTCTAATTTGACCTTATTTGATGCACTTGATAAAATAAGAATAAATGTTTTTCCTATATCAATTATAAAGAAAGATGCTAAAATTACTAATAAACTTAGAAAACATATTGACAAATAATGTAAATAAGCAGAAACTAATACTTCAGTTTTCCAAGGCTCAGTTAACAAGAAATCCATGTACAGATACACCTACAGCAGAAAAATAGTGATGATGAACTAAATTTCAATATATATTTAGCCCAGCTGGTGTGGCTCAGTGGATTGAACATTGTCCCATGGACTGAGAGGTCCTGGTTCAATTTCCGTCAGGGTGCATGCATGGGTTGCGGGCTTGATCCCCATTGCCATGTACCATTATCTTACACATGCCTCCAACAACTCAGGCCCAGCCCCAACAAGTGCCCATTCCCAGTCTGACCACTGACATGCTCTCTCCAAGGGAAGGTCCTCTATACCAATCTCAGATCACCCTGGTCTTTTTCCTGTCCTTTAAGACTCATCTGAAGGCCACAAGCTCTGACTCTTATGTCTTCCTATTTTACCTCTCTTCACTTACACTACCCATGCAGGCATCTGAGTACTGTATTTCTCCCTCACCATTTTCTAGCTGTGTAACTGGTCCAAATAAATTACTAATTTCTCAAGACCCTATTCTTGAGGTGTAAAATAGGAATAATATGTGCTTCATAGGACTGTCATGAAGATTAAATGAGAGGATAAACATGGAGTGGCTAAAATAGGAACTAAATAAATGCTAGTCCCCTTTCCTCTCTCAACAAGTCTGCAGATTCCGCCCTGGCCGGTTTGGCTCAGCGGTTGGAGCATCGGCCTGCGGTACAGAGAGACCCGGGTTCGGTTCCTGCTAAGGGCACGTACCTCGGTTGCAGTTTGTCCCCGGCCCTGGTTGGTCGTGCGGGTGGCAGCCACTCGATGTGTCCCTTCACATCGATGTTTCTCTCTCTCTCTCTTCCTCTCTCTCCCTCCCGCTCTAACTGAACAAACAATGGAAAAATGTCCTCGGGTGAGGATAAAAAAAAAAAAAAAGAAAAAAGTCTGCAGATTCCTTGAGGATATTATTTCTTTTGTACATGCCAGAGAATACAGCTTGGTGTAACTAGCATCAATAGATATTTTGCAGAATTCTTAAAACAGGTGCCTAAACGATTCCTAATCTATAGAGATCAAAGAAACATTAAGTAGCAATTCCTTAATGAAATAGTGGACCTGGGCAATAACCATGAATGTTCACTAACACCACAGAGACAACCAGACATTGTGTACCCCCAAAAGTACATGCTATAATTCGTGAAGTATATTTACTGATTGAAACTCTATATCTAACTACTAGTTTAGATGGCATACAGGGACAGAAGATGTTAAATGCCACCATGGGAAGCAATCAGCAAAACCCTGACGTGGGAAATTAAGGACAAAGACAGTTTCTTCAGCTAATAAATAGGAAAAAATAAAAGAGGAAGGGGAACCTACAGATAAACCTACAAAGAAATGCAATGGGTGGATCCTTATTTGGACCATGATTTAAGCAAAATAACTGTTTTATTATTATTTATTTATTTATTTATTTATTTTTTTATCCTCACCCGAAGACATTTTTCTATTTTTTCTTCAGATAGAGTGGGAGGGAGAGAGAGGAAGAGAGCGAGAGAGAGAAACATCGACGTGAAAGGGACACATCGAGTGGCTGCCACCCGCACGACCAACCAGGGCCGGGGACAAACTGCAACCAAGGTACGGGGACAAACTGCAACCAAGGTACGTGCCCTTGGTGGGAACTGAACCCGGGTCTCTCTGGACCGCAGGCCAACGCTCTAACCGCTGAGCCAAACCGGCCACGGCGCAAAATAACTGTTTTAAAAAAGCATTTATGAGGCCCTGGCATGGTAGCTCAGTTGGTTAGAGTATTGTCCCGATATACTAAGGTTGCCAGGTCAATCTCCAGTCAAGAAGCAACCAATGCACACTTAAAGTAAGTGAAACAACAATGTCTCTCTCTCTCTCTCAAAAAAAAAAAAAAGAAAATCAATAAAAAATAAAATAAAAAAGCATTTATGAGACAATCTGGGACACTGAAACACTAGGGGTATTTGATGTCATTAGTGGTACTGTCAACTTTTAAAGACGAAATCATGTTATTGTGATTACATTTAAAAATAGAATCCTTGTCCTGCTGGCAGTGGCTCAGTGTCGTCCCATGGACTGAGAGGTCCTCGTTCAATTCACTGTCAGGGCATATGCCTGGGTTTCAAGCTCGGTCCCCAGTTGGGAGTATGCAGGAGGCAGATGATCAATGTATCTCTCCCACATAGATGTTTCTATCTCTCTCTCTCCCTAAAAAAAATCAATAACAACTGCCCAGCTAGTGTGGCTCAGTGGTTGAGCATCGACCCATGCACCAACAGCTGGCTGGTTCGATTCCCGGTCAGGGCACATGCCCAGGTTGTGGCCCAAATCCCCAGTGGTAGGCATGCAGGAGGCGGCCAATCGATGTTCTCTCTCATCGATGTTTCTATCTCTCTCTCCCTGTCCTTCCTTTCTCTCTAAAATCAATAAACAAAAAAAATTTTATTAAAAAAATCAGTAAAAACATATTTAAAAAGTAATAATAATAATGATAATAATAATAATAATAAGCCCTGGTCAGTTTGGCTCAATGGTTACAGCGTTGGCCCGTGGACTTCGATTCTGGTCAAGGGCACATACCTTAGTTGTGGTTCAATCCCTGGCCCTGGTCAGGGTCGTGTGAGAGGCACCCAATCGATGAGTCTCTCTCACATCGATGTTTCTCTCTCTCTCTCCTTCCTTCCCTCCTACTCTATCTGAAAAATAAATCAATGGAAAAATATCCTCTGGTAAGGATTTAAAGTAAATAAAGAAATAAAAATAAAAACAGAATCCTATGTTTTAGAGATAGAAACTGAGCTATTTATAGTTAAAAAGATATGGTCTGGAATTTGCTTCAAAATAATTTACCAGTAGTGAATGGAAGCAGAATGGGTGTAGATTTGAAACAATTGGCTGAATTGATAATCGCTAAAACTGCGTGATGGGAACACAGGAAGTTATCACATCATTCTCTCTCCATTTTGTTTAATGTTTTTTTTTTTTTATAATAAAAAGGAAAGTACAAAGTATAAAGAGATATATAGCTCTGGCTAGTTTGGCTCAGCGGTTAGAGTGCTGGCCTGTGGACCAGGGTCCTGGATTCGGTTCCTGCTAAGGACACCTACCTCGGTTGCAGTTTGTCCCTGGCCTGGTTGGGGTTTTATGGGTGGCAACCACTTGATGTTTCTCTCTCTCTCTTCCTCTCCCCCTGGGGTGAAGATAAAAAAATAAAAATAAAAGATCCTCCCCTGAGATCGCCCCTAAAATTCTGAGCCACCAGAAAACCAACAAAAAAACCTCTGGAGCATGCCTGCACCCCCACCACAACTGTCCCCTTCTTTTCCCAGGGGTGTATCTTTGCTTTCTTTCTCCTAAGCTCTAAAGGTTCCTAGAAGACTTGCAACTAGAGGAGCATCGAAGAGCAGCAGCAGGTCGTCCGAGGCTTACCTCTCAACCCACCTCCAAGGGCCCTTCTTTTCCTTCTCTGACTTGTTTCCTGAGTCGTGCAACCCAACTGGCTCAATTCTTCTGCCTCTGTGACTTTTCTTCTAAAGGGCCAAGGCAGCCCCACCTAGGCTCATTCCTGTTGCTATGATCTTGCCTTTTTTTTCTTAAGCCCTTCCTTTGTTTCACTGCCCCATATTTAATACATTTACTCTCAAAATCACCTGGACTCGTACTGTGAAATCTCTCTTGCATGAAGTCAAGAACCCACACATTACAGACCATACTAGGGCAGACTCACCTTGATCTCAGTCCCTTTCTGGTGACAGCAAGACCACTTATTATAACCATTCCCCTTAATATGGCGACCCTCTTAAAGGAAGTCCACATTTACTTTAACACTCACTCACTCCTCAGCTCTGCACTTCATCCCCCAACAAACTCCTCATGCACCCCTGTGCCAGACATTATTCCAGTACTGCGACAAGATAGCAGTAAATAAAATAAATGTCCCACCAGCGCTGGCTTCCTTGCCCAAATCACAG